ATCCAAATGACCAACAATTGGAATTCTATATCAGCAGAGCTGCATATCGGGATATAACTAACGCTGGGTTCTTGTTGATTTGTTGATTTCCTTCTCCCTTGCCCGGGAAAAGGCCATACCGCCTCTTAGTGTCCGATTAGAGTTCCTCCGGAATGGCCCCTGTGTGAGAGCGTCGCTAGCTTGACGAGTTGCGGTATTTCGATTGCCGAAAAGACCCACAGGAGCTCAAGATGCCTTAGGTACATGCTCCTCCTCTCTTTATGGGTGTGTTGGGGAGCGGCCTTGAAGTGACCGTTGGGCACAGATCTATCCGAGAATTGTACCTATCGCGCGCAGTCTTTGTGATTGGTCTCCTCCAAGAGCTTCGAGGCCAAGACAGCCATGGGGGGATAATCTAGTCTAGACAGCTTGCGGCTTCAATTGGTCCTGATCATTTATGGAAGATTGGTACTTGGAAAACCCATACTGGTCTATTTATACACGTGGAAATCGCCGAATACTTTTCCCATGATCTATCTCCAATTTCATTTGTATTTCCTGTACCAAGGACTGAGACCAAGGTACCCCTGTTATATGCCGATGACTATTGGCCCCCAATTTGAGCTATTCTTAGCAATTGTTGTACTTCGTACTTCGTACACAGCGGGAATTAGCGTAGAGCTAGCCAAGAGGAAGATACACAAGGCTTGACCCCGATCTAGATGTGGTTGGTGCCTAATATGTAAGGCATCAGACACTACCCAATCGGGGAAAGCGGGGAGAAAAAAAGTTGGCGCGGATTTTCATTTGAGCTCCGGAACAATCACCAATTCTTTTTCTTGATTCAAGTCACCACCAACAAGATGCCTTCAACACACAATAAAGAGAAGGCCTGGGATACAGATGATATCGATAAGTGGAGAGTAAGTCAATACATACCCCTGCTGTCTTTTTTCACTGGTGAAAAACCCTTACTGACGGATCCTCGCACCAGATCGAAGAATTCAAACCGGAACACAATGCCGCAGGCAGTTTCGCCGAGGAGTCGTCTTTCATGACACTCTTCCCCAAATACCGTGAACAGTACTTGAAGGAAGCATGGCCGGTGATTACAAGAGCGCTGGAGAAGCAGGGCATCGCCTGCACACTGGATTTGGTTGAGGGTAGTATGACAGTGAAGACGACGCGGAAGACCTACGACCCAGCAGCGATCATCAAATCCCGCGATCTGATCAAGCTGCTTGCAAGAAGCGTACCGGTGACACAAGCGATGAAAATTCTCGAAGATGGCGTGGCATGCGACGTGATCAAGATCCGCAACCAGGTGCGGAACAAAGAGCGATTCGTGAAGCGACGACAGCGCATTCTCGGCCCGAACGGTTCAACCCTCAAAGCGCTCGAGCTGCTCACCGACACATACATCCTGGTTCAGGGTAACACGGTTGCCGTGATGGGTCCGTTCAAGGGACTGAAGGAGGTGCGACGCATTATCGACGACTGCATGGCGAACATCCACCCGATCTACCACATCAAGGAGTTGATGATCAAGCGCGAGCTCGCCAAGGACCCGACGCTGGCGGAAGAGTCCTGGGACCGGTTCCTGCCTAACTTCAAGAAGCGCACGCTGTCCAAGCGCCACGTGCCGTTCAAGGTTACCGACAAGGAGAAGAAGACGTACACACCATTCCCCCTGCGCCGGAGAAGAGCAAGGTCGATCTGCAGATCGAGTCTGGAGAGTACTTCTTGTCAAAGGAGGCCAAGGACCGCGTTCACAAGGAGGAGGTTGTCGAGCGTCAACGCCTCAAGCGGGACGAGAAGATGCGCGAGCGCGAGAAGGATTTTGTTGCGCCCGAGGAGGTTACACCGGCCGATCGCGAGGAGAAGCAGAAGAAGAAGGACAAGAAGGAGAAGAAAGAAAAGAAGGAAAAGAAGGAAAAGAGCAAGCGGAAACGCGAGGCCGAGGAGGATGTCGACGCCGACGAGGCCGCCGAGCGCAAGGAGAAGAAGAAAAAGAAGAAGAGCAAGTCCAAGGAAGTTTCTTCCGATGGGGAATGATCTGCTCTTTAATTGTGGTATCGGTATCTTGTATCGGAATTGGCGCTTATGGCAGTGCATAGGTCTGGCGTTTAAATGTCTTGTCTCCTGGTTCTTCGTTGCAACGTTGCAACCCGTGTACGCCCCAAGCTGGTGTGTACATTTACAAAAAATATTGTTCAATACCAATAAATGATCTATTCTTCTTCTACTCTACGCACTATTTTTTTAAAACGATAGTAATTTTCTTCAATCGTCTGATCAACGATAGGCTGTGCGCGATAGAGGTGCGCTTTATATCATATTTCTCATTGCAGTCGCGACATGTATTTATCAAAGGCATCAGAGTATTCCCCCAAGCCGCAGTGTCTCTAGATATAAACACCAGAAAAAGGCAACCACATATGACATATCTGAAGACAGTAGTTCAGACCGCTGTGGAAGTCTCCTCGTCAGAGGACGACGACGTACTAGCATCCAACCGACGCAACTTATCCAACAAGAACTTCTCCTGCTCTACCTGGCTCTTCTTTAAATCAACACCCCAGAACAGAATCACAAAGCTGGCAACACTCAACCCAAACAAAAAGTAGAATGGTGTCGAGACATTGCCCGACGGACTCGCATCGATAATTGCACTTGAGACGAGGGGACCAATAAAAGACGAAGTTTTGCCAATGATGCTGAAGAGACTGAAGAATAGGAACTCGTGGCCGCGGGGTGTGACTTCCGAGATCATGATTTGCGAGTAGCTGTACCAGGGGCAGATGAAAAGGCCATAGAACGCTTGGTAGACCTATAGGATCGATCCCATTAGATATTATTGCTGATAGCAGAGGGGAATTGACATACCCAGACTTCCCATGTATTGTGGAAACCGAACTTATTGGTCCAGATACCGATCATGCCCCAGCCATCAAGTAGGATGATTCCAACGGCGATGGCGTTGAACATTGTTTTGGTTCCGAGCCTGAAGCGTTGCTGGATTGTCCAGAATGCGTATATGCCAACCGCCTAAGAGAGATATGTCAGTTTGTAACAAATTTGCTTAGGAAATTAAAGCTCACCTGTGCAGCAATACCAACAATGAGTAGATATGTTAGTTCCAGCGTATTGTAAGCAACGATGCTATTCTGCAACGTTCCAATAACAGTCACAGTGGTGTTGAGAGAGTCTCCAAGTAAGAAATAACCTATTGCCAGCACCGTTAGCACCCATTGACCTTACGATAGACATAGTAGAACGCAAAGTCTTACCAATCAGATAGATCAGACTCTGCTTTAAATGCCAGATTTGCTTCATAGCGTGCCACAGTTGCCAAATGCCTGCAACAAGAATGGACCGATTCCCAGGGTCTTGACCGGGACGGCGTTTCTCAAGAACAAACCATGGAATCGAGACAAGCAACCACACACCAGAGACGAAAGCGATTAGCACACTAAGTCCCCAGTTGTTATTGCTTTCGCTATCATTGACTTTCAAACCGAACATGATTCCCACAATAATGGCCAGAATAAAGATCTCCGCGACGGACTGGACATAGAAAGCGACATTGGCAAGTTTGCTGCGCATCATGGTATCCGCATAATCGTATTCATCACGAGTAATCGTCCCGGCGACATATGCGTCTGCCTTTTCCTTCAATTCGAGGGAATTGCGCGCCAAGCCCGGGAATGCAGCAGTCCAGAAAGTGAGTGTAGTCTGATAGGCGATCAAACCGACCATATATAGACCAACCGCGACATGCCAATTGTCCGAGGTATGAACACCTAACCAGCCAAAACCGATGGCGTAGGCAATAATCGACAGTCCGATCAAGATGTTGGGTCGCCAGTAGCCGAAATCGGCGAAACTGCCAATTACCAGGAACACCACGACTTGGATCGCGAAGGAGATTCCATTTGAAAGGAGAACGATACTGTTGACCGTACGAGGTCTGCCTATGAAGTCGAGTAGTCCATCGGAAGGGGCTGCTTGGTAGAGCAGGTTTTGGAAAGCAGTTGGCGCGAAGTCTAGAACGGGTCAGCTTCTGCCTCCATTTGCCCGAATTAGGATATTTTGAGAATGCGGGTAGACCCACTGAACAGAGACAAGCCATTATTTCCAATGTAATAGCTGCATTCGTGGTGTTTAGTCTGTGCACATGGCCAATTCAACGATCCACGCACGCATAATATGCCCAGATTTCCATCCGGGTGGTGCGGTATCTCTCGTCGAATTGGTCTGGTGCAATTGGCTGGTCGATCTTGTTTGGGGGAAGACCATCCACCTCCACAGAGGAGTTTATATCGTCTTTGTGTTGATCCTGATCCATGTCTGACGAAGAGAAAGATGGAAGGACCAGAGAGTAAAAGAGGAAGAGAAAGAAAAAAAAAAAAAAAAAAAAACCCTGCCCCCCCGACGGGAAGAGACGAGTTAAATGAGTAGCAGGACTAGCCCCGCGGTGTTAAACCCTCAGCTTGAAAGGAACCAGTTGCGTTGCAATATAAGTGTCGATCCCGATAAACTGGATATGATCGAACTGGACTATATCCAGTCGAGTCTAGTCAGTGCTTGACTGCTTTATCTCGTCCTATCACATCGTCGAGGTTCTCAGCTTCCGCATTTGGCGTGGTTTTCCAAAGTGGATGGCTTGAGGAAATAGACACCTAGTTTCTCAGGCCAACAATAGGGCTTGAGGCAAGAACTTTTGTGAGAATATTGGTCGCTTTGCATCTGCCCAGTCCGTAGGAATAGATGAATCGTGAGATACTGACAGAATCTAGGGACGAGCTCTAGATAATAAACTAACACCAATTTCCATTTCCATCTGTGGCTTAGGACCTGGAGCACTCGACTTCCTGGATATGAAGGTGCCGGCTATCATGTTCGTGGAACCCGGCCGGGATGAGCTTCTCTCAATTTGCACCTGAATTGACCCTCGTGATTGTGGAAGATATGGGCAAGGGCACTTGATGAGGCAGTTCAAGGTGTCTATGGCGTGATTCATGATCAACATCCTCAACTCTGTGCTCAATCACGCTCCTGAAGTGAAACGCGTTGTCATCACTTCCTCTTTTGTCGCGATGGTAGACTGCAGCAAGGGCTCGTGGCCAGGTCACGTTTACTCCGAAGCCGATTGGAATATGACACCGTACGAAGTCGCAGCCGCCAAAGGGGCTCCGACTGGTCTGGCATACTCCGCTGCCAAGGCATTGGCTGAACGTACTGCCTGGGATTTTATCAAATCTGTATTTAGTAAGAAGGCACAATAAACAGACCTAGAACGCCCGCCGGTAACAATGTGGCACCTATGCCTTAGATATTCACATTATCCGTTCTCGTTGATGAGAGGTTTGCCAGGCAACTTGCTTTGTGAGAACGAAAAAAAGCATAGAAGGGCGGAAACTGGCAGAACATTCCACTCTTTGTTCTCACAGAGAGCAAATGCTTCTTCCTCAGATATAAAAACTTCTTCCTCTTCCATTTCTACCTAGAACTCCACCCCTATTTATATAGAGAAGTCTATCCTTCTCAACCAACCTGGTAGTTGCTGTACCTCATTTCCTGGTACCTGCAAGTCAAGCCTCGCTTCATTTTCCACATCTATCATGTCGTTCCTGATAGGGAATCCAGGCCCTGTGAACCCTTCACGTGATGGCTCGGAGCGTCGATAGCGAGATCATGCAGAACTCATAAAGTTGATGCTGGAAAGGACTCTATTGGATACCCGAATCACCAGATTTTGTCGTTTATACTCCCTGCTATATACATCCGCTCCGAAAACAACATTCACCCAGGTAGTAGTAAGGTATCAACGGGTGAGCCCCCTTATAGTTTATAACAGGTCATCTGGATACTGAGTCGCTAGTTCTATATTAGCGGAAGAACACAACCTGCAGGGTATACCATTTGGCCTTGCCACTCAACTTATGGAAGACAAAGGACAAGGTGGTACACTGGACTGGATGTTGAAGACATGTGATGTGTGGGATAAGAAGCTTAAATAGCTGTGTTATGCTAAGCACTGATCACATTGCCCCGGACCAGGACGCCTCTGATCAGCGTGGCAGTGGTTTAGGAGTATTTGCTCCCTATCGCATGGTGGATGTCATGAGTGAGAAGCCAATGGAGTGGTCGAGAGATACCAACAAAGATGGCCACCTCGAAGTGTATGGTTACAAGACAAGATAGATTGAGAGTTAAGGGAGGAACCTTCATAACCATGGAAAACTCCAACATTCCCACGAATATAAAACCATAGCGGAAACCGAAAAGACACAAGAGCGCGTAAGCAGCCGACTAGAGGGCTCTTTTATTTAATCAATAGCCTAACTTCACCCATTTCCGACTCTTATGTCACGCACAAGGAGAAGAGAATTCGAATATCCAATCACTAAGCGAATGAAACAGACTACTCGAGTGAAGTTAAGACTTAGGATTGTTACTTTTGATATAAGTAAGGTACAAGGAAACCATGTGATAACATATGTAAGTATGATTTTTAACAGTGGTAAAGTAAGTAAGCAAAAGTAAAGAAATATTACATAAAAACCAGCCGATTACCGACCATCAAACGACAGACCAATGAGTGAGTATCATCTAACCAATCACTCCAAATCGCCCAGGGAAAAATGACATGCTTAGAAAGTGAAAGCAAGGGCGAGAGCAACTACCAGGGCACCGGCAGCAGAGCCAGCGACACGGGTGGCAGAGCTGGAGGGAAGGGTGGGGGAGGCGGAGGCAGAGTCTGAGGAAGAAGAGCCAGAGTCGGAACCGGAGCCAGAGGCAGAAGATCCGGAGCCCTTGCTGCCACCGGTGGCGGTAGCGGAGGATCCAGAGGCAGTGCTAGAGGCGAATCCTGAAGCAGAGGCAGAAGCAGAGGCAGAGGCAGAAGCGCTCTTGGACTTGGGCTTGGTGGAGGGGCGGACACCGGGGGTCACAGATGGAGAGGAAGCACCGGCGGAGGATGAACCAGAGGCAACAGAGCCGGAGCCGGAGCCAGAGGAGGAAGAACCGGAGCCGGAGCCAGCGCCAGAGCCAGATGAAGAAGAGCCGGAGCCAGAGCCAGAGCCAGAGCCGGAGGAAGAAGAACCAGAGCCAGAGCCGGAGCCGGAGCCGGAGCCAGAGCCAGATCCAGAGGAAGAAGAGCCGGAGCCAGAGCCAGAGCCGGAGGAAGAAGAGCCAGAGCCAGAGCTGGAACCAGAGGCATCAGAGCCGGAGGCGGAGCCAGTGGCGGAGGGAGAAGCGCCGGAGACGACACCAGACTTCTCGGCGACACCTGAGGTGCTGGAAGAGGCGGCAGAGCTGGAAGATGTGGAGGCCTTGCAGCTCAGGTCGTACAGGGGGGTAGTGTCAGTGGAGGAACCAGTGACACCGAAGCTGGGGGCGGTAGTACCGGCATCCTCGAGGATGTACCACCAGGTGTTGGTGACGCCCAACAGAGGGCAGGCGACTTCGTCCCAGAACTGCTTGGCGTTGGCGACGTTGGCGACAGCCTGGTTCTCGGTGGCGCCAGTAGTGGGCCAGCCAGTCTCAGTGATCCAAACCTCCTTACCGGCGGCGACAGCCTTGGTGTTCTCAACGCCCTTGTTGAAGAGGGCCTTGGCATTATCGATGGAGTTGGGGTCGGTGTTCTCGTAGTAGGGGTATCCATCGAAACCGAGCCAATCGACGGCCTCGATGACGGCAGAGTTGGAGCCGTTGGTCCATGAGTTCCAGGTGTCGACGTGGCCGATGGGGGCGCCGCTCAGGGAAGTACCGGAGATGGCGGAGCGGACCTGCTTGATGTAGTCGACAAGCTCGGCGGATTCGACACCGAGACCGGCGTTGGCCTTGACACCGGTGTCGGAGCTACGGTAAAGATCCTCACTGCCGACGGAGATACCGACAACTAGGTCTGTGAATGCATCGCCGTAGGTGGAGATGGCGTTTTTGAGGGCAGCAATCTCGTTGCTCATGCCACCACCGGAAGCCCAGAGACCGAGGAGAAGAGTGGTCTTCTCCTTGATAGCGGCGGGGATGGCCTCAATGGGGCCGTTGGTAGTGCCACCCTGGATCATGGTGTACAGACGGGCACTGGTGAAGGCATTGTCGGTTCCAACGAGGTTCTTAGCAGTAGAAAACTCGGTCTCGAAGTCGGATTGGGTCTTGAGGCTGCCATCAACCTTAAGAGCACCGTAGTTGAAACCTTGAGAGATGGCCTCAGAGGTAGCGACGGCCATCGCGAGGGCAAGGAATTGAGCGGAACGCATTTTGAATGTTATTAAAACGAGTGTTGATAGTCAATGAGAATAAGATAAGATGACAGAGGGAACCTGGAATAAAAGAGTGTAGCCAGGAAAATTCAAAAGGAAAAGATGAAGAATAAAGATGAAAGTAAAAGTGAAAGTGGGAAATGCAAACGGAAAAGAAGTAACACTCGAAAGTCCTAAAGAACAAAAGCAAGGTTGGTTCTGGCCATGAAAAATTCAGTCTAGATTCCGCCACAGTGTAGCATTGTGGATTCCGTGGGTCAGAACACGTTTGCTTGTCCACTTTAACTCTGTTTCAAACCCTCCGATTGGCTGAGATGATAATTGATTGATTCCAAAAATATGCATGAGATGTGGGTCCTGGTAAATCCATGGTCCTCTTAAGGCTGCATTCGATGATTTTGCCCGATCTCCCCGGATACTTCCATCCGACTTTGGGAGTGAAGTGTTATCCCGACCATTCCACGTTTAGATTTTAGATCCTAAAGAATATTCACACCCTTTGAATTTATATATGTATCCAATATAGTGGGTCGTAGACACCTTGGAGTACCCTAAGCACTGCGGAGTAGAGGAAGATGACAGAAACATCCTGGTGGAGAATCGGTGTCATTGCATGACCGAGCTCATTCCCATCAGGGGTTTACTAATCTCCCCTATATTGTAACTAGTTATAGTTACAACACTGCCCAAATGGTCTATTATTAACCAACCCCTTTTAAGCTCAACCCTTGATAGATCAATGATCGACCAGTAGGGTAGGGGGGCATCGTGACGTCGTAATCTACGGTGTACTCCGTACTCTGTGCCTTTGTCGAGTCTAGATGTCAAACAATGGCATTTAAATAGATTTGTGTAATTACGGAGTATCCCTTACTCTATATTATAATTGCATCCAATCACACTAATTAATTGTGTATCGTAGTTCGGGCTACCCTTGGCCAAGTCAATATTGACTGATCATACTCCGTAACATAACTAGTTAGTCTTAAGATAAATAAAAATATCTTGTAGTTTTGGTGGTTCACGCACACTTTGTGTTTGTACCTAGTCAGCGTGGCTGAATGTCTTACCCGGCGACTTTGGTCTTATCGATCTTGTCGAAATTTGCGTGTAATGATATTTTACAGGTGGGAGGCTGCTAATAGGAGAAATATTTTGAAGTGAATGGTTATTATCATCTTTTGTAGTTAGCTTTTGCGAAACCACATGATTTAGAGGCTTCGGACAATCCGTAACTATAATAGTACTATCGTGTGATGATTAACTATTCTAAGTAGACGTGTTTCTTTGACTGTGTGGATCGACTCTCTCTTGATATATTTCCGATCTTCCGAAATAGATAGATTATATTCTTAAATAAAGGGACCTTAATGTCCATGTTTAGATGCCGAACACAAGCCTTTTAGGCTTGCCCCCTATCATCACTCCCGAGGTCCAAACTCACATTACTGTCTCTTATTGAATTGACTGACTGGCAGCCCAATACCAATTTGTAGTTCATCAATATTTGTTATAGTTATACAATGATTGGGTTCTATATATTTTTTTCTGTGCTATATTTAGCAACTGGTCAGCTATCTGCGATAACTGGAAGGTGGGGTAATTGCCAGATGGAACATCAAAATGTTTCCTAAGTTCCTTTCCCCTACATTAATCTGAAAGTATGACAATCACAAAAGAAAAGGTTCAAGAGATCTTGAACAAAACTGCCCTCCGCTCTCGAGGCGCAGGAGGTGCCATCGCCGTCGTCAAAGATGGCGAGGTCATCGGCCAACGCGTTTGGGGATTCGCCGACCTGGACCAACGGATCCCCATGACATCTCAAACGCAAATACCCATCTGTTCAATTACCAAACAGTTTGTGTGTGCCCTATTGATTGACCTGGAGCGCAACCCAACCCCAACATTAGCTGCAAAGGGCGATGCCCGGAAACAGCTGTCAGATCATCTCACAGAAATACTAAGCCCGGAGCTCACACGTGACGGCGAACTGACAGTTGATCGGCTATGCGACATGCAATCCGGTATGCGCGACTACTGGGCTATGACCACACTGTGGGGATCCAAGCCCGACGACGAGTTCCTGATAGCCAGAGACTGTGGTCCACTGCTTGCCCGAACCAAGTCATTCCATTTCCAGCCGGGAACGGAATATTCCTACTGCAATGTCAACTTTCACGTACTTGCCCGAGTAATTGAACGTGCTACTGGGGAGTCTCTCGACAAATTGCTCGAAGAGCGAATCCTCCGACCGGCTGGTATGAGCACAGCATTCCTTTGTCCGAACACCGCACACCACCCACCGCCATGTGTCGGGTATGAGGGTGACGAGCAGCACGGTTTCACAGCGGCTGTTAACAGAATGGAATGGTCTGGCGATGCTGGATTAGTGGCCTCACTCACTGATATGATCGCGTACGAGAAGTATCTCGATCGCTGCTACGCTGATCCGCAAAGCTGGTACCACACCGCTATTGTTGCCCCGAAGTTCAAAGATGGTACTCCTGCGAAGTACCGCTATGGACTAAGTCACACTGACATCGAGGGTGTGAACACGATCGGACATGGTGGAGCGTTGCGAGGGTATCGACTGCACCGGCGACACGCACCACGTGAGCGGTTGTCCGTTGTCGTTATGTTTAACAGTGATGCCGGCGCATTCGGCCCCAACATTGATATCTTCCGAGAGCTGTTGGAATTACCCAAGCCCGTGACAGCGTCCATTCAGGCTGATGCGAGTTGGGTCGGCGCGTTTCTTGACCAAGATACCCAGCTGTCGATTGTCATCACCAAGGGCGCACGGGACGGAGAGGTTGCCATCAGCTATGACGGCGCCGCCGATACTATCAATCTTAGCTCACCGAATCATGGGAAATCTGATTCGGCAGTCGCGACAATTGATGGAGATTACTTGAGTATTCATCGTGTGGGAGATAACCGTATACTCAGTGCTCGGCGTATTGTCCCGAAAGAATTAATCCTTAAAAAGACTGCATTCCAGGGCGTCTACCACTGTGACGAGATTGAATCTACCTTCCATTGCATTGGCGAATATGGCGTGCTATACGGGGCGTTTGATGGATATCTGGGTCAAGGAAATGCAACTCCCATGAAATATCTGGGAGATGACGTTTGGGTCTTGACTTGCCCACGTGGTTTGGATGCGCCAGCTCCGGGAGACTGGACCATTGTCTTTTCTCGGGATGAACATGATGCAATCCAAGGATTTACGATTGGTTGCTGGTTGGCTAGGAAGGTCAACTTTGTGAAGAAAGCATAAGGCTTCTATTCTACTACGTGGGAGAGCCAAATACAGTCAATTATATTCAATACAAGTAGGAATAAGATAGCAATTCTGAAACTGTTGGTATAATATTAAATTATTCATTACCGAGTAGTTGGCATATCTAGGGCCATTACCAGGAAAACCACTATTTTCTCGTTATTCAAACTGATCTGTTGGAAAAATAGACTGACCAAACACTGGGTATTATATATGGCCAGCCATGAACTGGCCTGTCGCTTGTCAACTGACATTATATCATTATATTAGACACTAAATACTTCGGCTGTTTCTGTCTGACAACAAATAAGCCACACGAACAAACAACAGGAAATTATATCATCAATGTACTCAAGGGAATTCGAAAAGACCACAATCGTAGAGCTTGAATCACCAATCCATTCCGCTCACTTCCAACAAAAGAAATCCACATCTGTTCAGGGCTTCGATAATTGCTCCCTTCGGAAGAAAAGAAGAAAGCCACCACTTGAATTCAAGCGTTAGACGGGAATGGTAACATTATTATAGGGGACCACATACCAGATCGAAAGCTGCAACAAAAGAGCAATCCAAAACCAAGCGTTACCCAATGCGCCCGCACCAGCCGTGATATCAGGTGATATAGGTCCTGGTCCAATGTTGTTTGGTGCGAAGGCTCTTGCGCAAATAGTGGCAAGAGAGCCCAGGACCTGTGATACCAGAAGGGTGAAGCAGATATGCATACGTGTCAGTGTTTGTAGCAGAATCATACCAAAACCGAGACCTTGTAATGCGTCCAAGACCCCGAGCCAGAGCCAAAGACTCCGGGATACAAGAGCTCCCGAGGTATAACTCCCAGCCCAGGGGAGATACAGGCCGGATCCAGATGTGCCCCACCAGATTTGGGCCCAACGAGGTGCACCCAGACCACATGCGAGAACTGGGAGAATCCAACTATGGGACTTGGATAGTCTAGCTAGCAGGAATAGAACTGCTATCCATACAAAGCCAAAGAATGCAACGCAGAGAAGTAGGATTTGCCACGAGCTGGCGTGCTGGGTAATCCAGAGGACTGTGGTAATCATTAGTGCAATCCCACATATAAGAAGGGAGAATGGACAACTGGGGGCTTCTGGGACATGTAGACTCACAATTCCAGTTTCGACCATACGGGGCACTCAAAAAGAAGTTTTGGATAATGACGACCACCCAGTTCCAAAGTACGATCTTGCGCCGGAAGACAGATTTGTAGAATGATGGCACTTTGCCGGGAGTTTGGCGATAGTAGTTTGGCAAGCCGAAATAGACGATGAGGCCAATTGCCCATAAGAACAGGGTGATTGGTGTACAGATTGCTCTATGGTAATGGTTAGAAAGTCTCCGGTCTTTGTGGTGAAGATTTCGATGTTATACGCACGTCATCCTCCAGGTGTTGGTAACACTGCCCTGCACATCCGTAATTCCAGCGTTGGTAGCCTTAGTCAAAGTTGAACCCCAGTACCAAAGAGCAATGACATAGGCTTGCTGTGTGCCCTGAATAAGACAAGCACGGAACACCCACTGCTGGACCGGTGCACCGCTCTCATCGCCGAAATTGAGGGCAAAGAAGATGGAACCACTTGATGATGCAGCAGCATAGATACTACTGCCGACATTTTGAATCCATCCGCGATTGTGTGAGTTGGGCTCAAAGTGTGCCATTCCGATGATCAGAAAAGCCGTTCCGTATAAGAACCATGGCACGCTCAGAACGATCACAGATTTGCAGTATCGGAAGAAAAACCACCATAGAATAGAAGTAATAAGGTAAACTGTCGCGATTCCGTATAGCTTTGTAGAGGTCTGGCCCACCTCTCCGGTGAGAAGGGTAATCTGGTAAGAGTTGGCAGCAATGATTTGGCCTAGTCCGAGGAAGAGAGAATATACCGGCCATTCTCCGATGCGCATTTGCATCCATTTCTTCAGACCTGTCGGTGGCACGTAGTCATCGCCAAGAAGGAATTCATCCCGCGGAGATTCTTTTCTCTCGCGCTCACCACTTTCATCGGATGTCGCATCGTCATTGGTAATTGACCCCGTTGGGGATATTTCTGCTTTGCCCCTATGTACTGAGCCAGCTGGGGATCCTTGGTTGAGGCCAAGGCGTGCATCACGGAATTTGTTGAACCATTTCTTCTCGCTCTTTTCGAGGTATTGTTCAATGCAGAGTTGGGTGTCTGAGTTCGCCCCATTGAGGTCCTCGAGTCTTTTTTCAAACACTCTGTAGTATTCGCCGTTGCTGTCAGTGAAGAACGGGTCGACTTTTTGAAGTTTGAAGTCTTTCTTCTCTCCAACAACTGAATCGACGGACAAGACTGAGGCGTTTGTGAAACGATTTCCTGGCTCCGCCCATGGGCGAGAAGGAGGGATAAGGGTGTCATCTGTCCCGACAGTACTCGGCGCCGTTGAACTAGATGGTGTGTTGCTGCATCGAGCCAACAGTGAGCCTTGGCTCGCGCGTTGGGCCGAGAGAGCCTCTTTGGTGAGTGCCACACCCGCAGGCTGGGCAGTTTGTGCACGTCCTGGATCTGTTCTTTCAGGTGATATGGAATAGTCATCATCGCCGTAGCAAGTGGCCATCATTTCATCATCGCTGTTTTCTTCAGCCTCTGGAGAGGTTCTACCAGCACTGTCGTCACCCTCGATAACGCTGCCTTTCCCGAGGTCGGATCGACCACGAGCCTCTATGGTGCCAGATAACGGCCGCACACTATGAGACATCTGGAAACTGAGTCCCGACCGAGGTCTCCCATCAAATCCAGGGCTTGCGTCACGACTGTAGATTATAGAACTTCGCTGTAATGATCCTGTCGTACCCGGGCGACTTGAGTGTTGTAATGGAGGCGTTGATGCGCCCGATCTTGTTGACGCAGCCTGCGGCGTCATCATCCCGTAGATAGCATTATATGCCCCAGCAGCGGTGGACTGACTCTGGGATTTAGCTCGTTCCTTTTGATGGACTCGAATCGATGTGGATTGTAAGATCTCGAGGTCTTCAACCCACTGGGCCACTGGGAATCGTTGCTTGGCAGACCTTGCACGCATTATTGCCCTCACCTCAGGCTTGGAGTTTAAGGCACTTTCGATGGCTAATTTGAACTGCTTTAACAGGTGGGAGGTAGTCGTAGACTCAACCGTATACCACCACCCAGGCATCTGCCCGAGTCCTCCTACTCTGGCACCAATACCAAGGGCACCCTTCCGACCAAATTCGACAGCGACAAGGCCAAAAGGTTCATCGCGTGACGGAATGAGTGCAAAGTCTGCACCAGAGAAGATGAAGTGTGGTAGGACCGTGAACTGAGGTTTGGAGCACACCCGACCAGGGTAAAGCTTCATCATTCGATCCAGTTTCAACGCGGCGAATTTGCCATATAAGTCAATGAGGGGCCCGATGCAAATCAGCTGGACATGTTCTCGACTCTCTAGCACACCAGGCAAGACATCAGCGATCAAGTCGATACCTTTTTGCATCGACCATCTTCCAACAAAGACTAACAAATCAGCGTCGGGTCTTTGCTTAAGACCAGCCCATTCTTGAGCTTGGCGTTTTAGCTCTGCTCTACGAATTTCGAAGTCATTGTCGATATTAATATCGCTTTCCTTAGGCAAGGCTTTATCCCACTCGCCTGTATCGGAGGGGTCTGGATTTGGTAGGTTGCCAACTTTTCTTAAGCCCCAAAAAATTGGATATCGAGCATATGACCGCTTTCCATACTTCTTCGACACACCAACAGCACCGAAGCCTTGTTGATGAAGGCGAAGATAGCTTGCACCGGCATGGAGAAGATTGAAGATCTCACCGAACTGGACATAGCGTGTTACAACGTCCAAATCAAGGTTGAAAACAGAACAGACTTCGGTTTTCTCTTTCTGTGTCCGCATAGGCCATAGGCCTTGGAATTCGGCGTTGTGAAGCGACAAGCAAATAGGAATAGTCTCGGGCAAAAGATACAACGGAGCTACCGAGCCGTGATAGTCATTGATGTGGTACATATCAACGGGAAACCGCTTCATCGCCTGGGCAATGCATTGGTTCCAGGCAGAGTAGTAGATGGCGCTGTCGAGGTCGTCCATACGGGCCGGGTAGGGCTCTGTGACGGATTGCTGGCGGAACACGGGCGCATCCAGCAAAACATATGTGATGTTCCTTAGTTGGTGGTATTGAATCTTGATTTCGTATGAATTGCCTAGGATCATGACAAACATTGAATCCGCTTGTTTATCAAGGGGATACTTTACTCCACCGACACAGGGAATAACCCAGACAAGATCCTCATGTCCGAGTTGTTTGCCCATCAACTGTGCCATGACACCCAAGCCACCGATTTTGATCTTGATAGCCCAGTCGTCGATCTCATATTCCATGGTTGCAATGAGTACCTTTCGTCGGTGCGCATTTCGATTGCCAAAGGCAGAATTACTCTGAAGGAAGTTTGACCTGCTTGCTAGGCGTCGGAAGGGGTTTCTAGACTGTCCGTCTTCCATGTGGCCGATGTTGAATTTGTTGAAGAAATCCATTGAAACGAGCGTCTTCTTTTCACTCACGCCGACTTGGTTGAATTTGATCCGGTAGAATGTTTTCATGAACACATAAGCGCAGGTCGTCGCTGTAATGACGGGAACAATGCAAAGAAGGAAAAAGAGAGCCATTTGAACATATTTGGAGCCTGTAGGAACAAGCTTAAACTGCAAATTCGAGTCATCCAGTTGAAGGCTCCAAGCCAGGTGCGGTTTCGGTGGATGCTGAGTGATGTTTATGGATGTCACACTAAGCGAAGAGGGCGGTAGACGGTCTAGGATCGAATCTCCGTCGGAATCTCCGTAGATATAGCTTTGATCTGGTTGGTTATCAGGGTTGATACCCCAGACATTCAGCTGGCCCTGGGCAGGCCATTCAGCCATAAAGCGGAATTTCCAGAGGCCATTGGTATCTTGTCTCACGATATTATCCAAGCCGGCATCATATCCGTACCTAT